TGATTGTGAAGTCATGTCTTGTTATTCCGACTCCTCGTTTACACTTTTCATTCGTGAGTTTTGTTTTGGACTAATTAGTTTTGCATTTAGCTCGTTCAGACTTTAAACACAATATTTCCTGTTCTACGTTGTAGTTTTTTTTAATCCTTCAGGCTACGATGGCGTGTATTGAGCGTGACGTCACCTCAGGGGCGATGTAGTCGGGCGTCCCACAGAAGGTGGAGGTCCTCAGGTCGTCCTGCATGTTTTCCTTACACATGCCAAAGTCTGCGATCTTTATATGACCCTCGGAGTCCAGCAGCACGTTGTCCAGCTTCAGGTCTCTGAGGACGCAGCGAGGCAAGAAGTCAGAAAACTGCGTGTCACTATTTTCAAATGTTTATCTCCGGCTCCAGCTGAGACTCTACCTGTAAATGATTCCCTTCGAGTGAAGGAACTGGAGCCCACAGATGATCTCGGCTGCGTAGAAGCTGCACAGACAAAGAAAGAGGAGGAGGGAAGCATCAAGTGTTTGTTTAATCTGCTCCCTCACGACCAGAAGTTTCTGGAACAGTTAGAAACCACAGTCATGCATCTTCATTGAGTTAAGTTGTGCACGTACGTGGCTCTGTGCAGGTCAAACTTGCGGACGCTCTGGATGTGGAACATTAGATCTCCTCCGTTCAGATACTCCATCACGAAGAACAGGTTCTCCTGAGAACGAGAACGCAAGAGACGTCAGAGCTGTGGAGGGAACGTCCCCTGATCACTTGGACGTGGTCGTTACCTTGGTCTGGAAGGTGCAGTGAAGGTGCGTGAGGAAAGGATTTTCCCAGGCTAAAGACAGAACCCTCCTCTCCACCATCGTGCACTCGACGTCGTCGTCCATCAGGACCACGTCCTTCTTCAGAGCCTTGATGGCGAAGAACTGGCCGCTCTTCTTCAGCTCGGCTAAAAACACCTTGAACACAGCGAGAACTTCAGGAAAGTGCTGTCGCTGCGGGACAGTTTGTTTTGCTTGTTGCACGTTTAAAGCCTCATTTCTCTGGTGTGGAATCCAGGTACCTTTCCGAAGCTGCCCTTCCCGAGCATCTTGTGCAGGACAAAGTCTTCCAAGGCGAACTTGGCGTGGTGATCTTTCCTCGGGACGGCGTACAGCGGCTCCTCCTGTGTCGACACCTCGGCGACCGACCCGCCGAAGTCTGTGGGCCCGTCCCATGAAATCCCCTGCAGCTCTGCGACAGGTCAGAAAAAACACAAAAGTGCACGTTGTTGAAGAAATAAAGAGGAAATGAACGTGTGCCATGAAAAGAAAGATGTCAGAGCTGGTTTACCTTTGTTCGCAGGCGTAGCTGAGGCCGGTAATCCCATGATTAACCCCGACGGAGCTCGGACTACTCCGGCCTGACCGACGCTTACTGGACCTTCTCGACCGATGATGTCACTGTCTTTGGTGCTTCGGGCCTGAAGGTTAAAGGTAAAACAAACACCATCGTTCACGTTTTATCTTTCTTTGATTTCTACATATATATATAAATGAATTGGCGATCATTCCTAAAAAAGCAGAACATTTGTGCGTCCCACCTGCTGCGTGCTCTCGATGACGGCCAGAGCTTCAGCCATCAGCTTCTGGTTGACGCCGCAGAGGTTGGCGACTTTCGTCTGACACTTGTGATGAACGTTCATGCTGCACTCTGCACGAGTAAAAAGAAATAACTCAACAAAACGAATATAATTCAATGGTATTTTATAAACTGCTCCGCTCATAGACGATGTATCGTCCTCTAGAATAATAATGTGTCGCGTGTTCTTCACATTTTTACATATTTCACATATTATCACAAAACCAGCAGCAACACAGCCGACGCCTCACACAGACTCACTACGTCTCTGTGTCGGCTTCTGCTGTTGGTTTCACACGGAACACGATATTTCCCAGCAGCAGCAGCTGCAGTTTGTTTTTGGTTCGATCGTCGGACACTTAGAAAGAATTCAGTGAATACTTCGTCCGACCGGAAAGATGGCAGCTGCTGGAGGTCTCATGTTGTGGAATTTAATATCAGGTCACAGTTTGTAGAAATTTGCAGATAAACCCTCGGACTCCCACTGGCATGTGCATGATTACACGTGTGTGCAATGGAATCTTGTGACATGTATTCGTGCATGTATCTGTAGTTTTTGAATTCTGTACTTGTACTTGTACTCCACCTCTGTTTATCCTTCATATCTGTGTAATTGCACTAGATGTACTTTATATTTGAGAAGTTGCTGTTTTGAGTTTCACAGGATGCAGACGTTACATTTAAAAATAATATAATAGAACTATGCTCTTCATTTTTCTACACGTTATTCTGAAGCTGAATTGTCTTTGAGGTTCCTCCACACAAAGCGAAGACACGAGTCCAGTGTCCCAGAAAAAAGACAAATCTACAGAAAATCATAAGACTCCGTCCTCTCACCCTCACATTTGAGCCCCTGCTTGGCGAGTCCCCACAGCAGAGTCCCGCAGTGTTCGCAGAAGGTGGGACTTTTGTAGTTGTAGACTCTGAACCGGTGCGGCATGTCGATCTTGAAGCGCTCCTTGTGGATCTGCAGAAGAAGAAGACGTCAGGATAGAAACAGACGAAGGTTCACAAAATCAGTGGAAACGCATTGTTTATCCAAACAGCAGGTAGCAGGCTGTCGTCTCTACCGACTAATGCAACACGAGGAGGGAGAGTTGGGTTTTAAAATGTGTGAGCATTGGACTTGGGTGAAGAGCAATGGATCCTGGGATTGTTTGTCCTGAGGAGGATCCACCCTGCGGAGCCGTCACTGCTCAGGAATGAAAGGACCGAAACTGTCACTTTTTTAAAATGCAGCCTCCGAAGCATGCGGCGCCTGAGTTGAGAACACATATAATTTGTGTTTGGCATTTGTGGTCTTGCACTCATCGAGTCCTCTGAAGGATGTGGTCCATGAAACGGGGACACCTCGTGTGAGAATCTGCACGAGGTGACTCCAGCATCATATCTACATGTTTTGATGTTTTCACACCCGCTGTAGACGCTCACCATCGTTTCTTTGCTGTTCACGGCTGAGCCGGTGCATTTGGCGATAACTTTGTCGATGCATTTTTTGTGGATCGCTGCGTTGCATTCTGAAAGACACAGAGACACGAGCGGGTGTGAGACACGTGGGAAAGGACAAAAAGCATCGTTAGAATTACTGCTGACACTTACGTCTGCACTGGTAACCCTGTTTGTTCAGACCCCTGCGGAGGAGACAGACAGGTTACAAGGAGAAATTCTGGGATGCATTTGTTTTGAATGACTTCTCGGTCGGTCGCGTACCAAACAAACTCTTTGCAGACGGAGCAGAAGGTCGGTTGAGGGAAGAACGTGGCGCTGAACTCGTGACATTTGACGACGTGAACTTTGGCCTGTTTGATGGCACCGCGTCGCTGATGGAGGGCGAACAATCCGTCTCTCTCCGGCTCAGACTCCGGGTCTCCCTCCGTCTTACCCGCGGCGTCTGAAACACAAACGGCTGCTGAAAACAAGCTGTGTTGTGTTTGTGTCTTCGAGGAGGAAGTCATTCACATCGAATCAGTCGCTCTCTCCACCTGTCGTCCTGAGAGGTGATTTCCTATTTGCTGGATCTAAATATAGAAACGGCCTCGGAGTCGTGTTAATGTCAGGAAAGCACCAGAGAAGAGGAGCCAACACAAAGCACCGAGCACTCAGTGCCGAGGGTCGACCCTTTTATTTTTAGTTTGAGAAAATGTAATAAGGTCAAGAGGATTAAACATTAAGAAAGATCAAGAGACGCAGGATAAAGGACGAGGTGGATTGTTTTTTCCACCTCTGTCGTCGATTAAAGCATTTAGAGAATAAAATAAAGTCGGTGCTTGATTTTGAGCTGCATGTGGAAATTATGAATTTCCCTGTTTTCTTGGAAGCAGTTATTTTGAGCAAATCCAAAAAGCTGAAAAGTGAATTCTTACTCACTGAGAGTTCAAAGTACAAAAATAAATCTTCTTCTTCTTCTCTTCTTAAGAAGAACCTTGTGATTTCACATCCTCAAAAGAAAACAATTTTTGATTTTTTTTTTGCTTGGTCACTGATTTCATTTCAAGGTAGTTTCAGCTTCGGAGATGTTCGTGCGTGTGTGTGTGTGTGTACACACGTGTCAGTGGGGGGGGGGGAGTTTGAAGCACTCACCGCTCTTCTCCAGGTAATATCTGGCCTCCATGAGCAGGCGACCCTGAGGCTTCAGCTCCAGCTGAAACGAGGAGAAACAGAAACTGTGAAACAAATGTGACGACTTGGAAAAAGACAGTTAATTGAATGAAAGGGGAAGTTTGTGGCTTCAGGCTGTTGATGCACATCACAGTTTGTGGCGCTGACACAGGCCGACGCTGTCTGGCACATGAAACGCAGACCAACAAACCAGACAGGATTTTCAGCAGCAGTATACACTACTACTAGTATACGACGACACCTTGTAGTACACTGTACATGCAACACACTAACCCAGATCTCCAGCTTGCCGTTCTCCTTCTTGCACCGCGTCGCCAGCGTGTCCAAAGCCACCGTGGCCTCAGACTTCAGCTCGGCCGTCTGGTCCTTCACCATCACGTGCATGATGCGGCCGCGGTGGATGTGGGCATCGAACGTAGTGCTCCACGGCGGGTACATGGTCGGCTTCTTCTGCTTGTACACTTGACCTTTTTCTGTAACGACAGAACGTGCACATACTTCTGCTCGTTACTTCGACTTTAGCGCGATGCATTTAACTCGTGGGGGGTTTGATTAATGGCCATGGACACGATTTCCTGCCGCTGATGAAAACGGACACCAGGAGTTAATCTGTACCATCGCTGGGAGGATTAGATGCTGTTTTTCTGCCTCTCGCTCCCATCAACAGCTCAGTCCTCGTATTTAACGTTATGACATCTGATTCTCGTCTGCTGCCGCTGGTGCAACATTTCATTTGCGGATTATTCGATATCTGAAGGGTTTGACCAGCGGACCATCATCAGACCTTTACGTGACACTGAGACGGAGAGATTTTCATCCCACGGCCTTCATAATTGACATCTGCTCATTTTTTTTCCTCCGCACCAACATCCTGTATATCCACTTACATAACCACCACATGCCGTCCTTCAACAATAAAAGCCCACTAAGCTTTTTAACTCGCAAAGTGATCTGCGGCCTTCTCCATCAGCGGCTCATCGCTTGTCTCTCCGCCGGCCTCGCAGCTGCCATCTGTGCTGATTAAAACGCCCGGAGACGAAAATATTAACCGCTCACATCAGCTACGTCTGCGTGTGTGTGTGTGTTTAAGGTTTCCTTGCGACGTTGTGCAGATAGAGAGGTGACATGTTTTGGTGTCAGCCAGTTCCTGTGTTATTCTTTGAAACAGTATGGAGGCGTTTTAGACGTGAGGTCGTGTTTTCATTTACATTTACACACGTTAAAGAGACTTTAAACCAGCAGAGGATGAAAAACTTCAAAGTTATTGTAGTTTTTCTTCTTCTTGTGTGTTTTGTGCGTCCGCAGTCACACGACATTAAAAAAACAAACACTCAGCTGCTTTGCCTCATTTGAACAAGACTCTAACATGGAAGTGAACCAAGAACGGCTCAGTGGGCGGCGGCAGTGACGAGCCGTCAAACTGTTTCCCAGTAGCGCAGGGGGAGAGACGTCTCATGAACATAAATACAAATAGGAAACAGCTATAAATCTGTTATAAGAGAAGTTACAGAGGAGGTTTGTACGTGTAACTAAAGGCACAGAGCTGTGCTCACTCCTCCTTCACCTCTTTTCTTTTGTTTCTGACCCTCAACCCTCTTCTGGACTTTTTATTCCAGATCTTTGTTTCAGGATGTGTGTGTCGAGAACTGTTCCTCTTCTCAGCTTAGCGTAGAATTTTCAGAGGTTTGAAATAAACTTTGAAAGAACAATTCAGGTTCTACGTTCTGTGAGTCGAGCTTCACTTAACTTTGCATAAACAGGTGAACAGCAGCAGCTCTTGATTTGCTTTAACAGTCTCAGAAAGAAAACTGCAACGAGCAGAACAAGCAAACAGCGCCTTCAGGATTTCATTCTGCTGGAAGTGTCAGAGTCACAGTTTGTAGAAATTTGCAGATAAACCCTCGTAATGGAATCTTGTGACATGTAACATGCATGTATCTGTAGCTTTGGGGGATTCTGTACTTGTACTTGTATCCATACTACCTCTATGTACCCTTCATATCCGTGTAATTGCACTAGATGTACTTTATGTAACGTATCTTTGAGATGATAAGGTTTTAGTCTCTCTGGTGTGAAGCTGACTTCTGGACGAGCTGAAGAACTTAAACTGTTTTTGAAAACAAAATCAAACTGGTTCGGTTCTGAACACGACCTGGCGGAGTCACAAAAGAAGAAGTATCTTTGCAGAGCATTTTAAACGAAAGCTGTTTGTCTATGCGTCACATCAGTTTCTATTTGAAAATGAACTCGGCAGCGGTGAGCCAAAAAAATGCAGTTTTTCTCGGCCGTGGGAGTTTCTCATCATCAGCTCTTAATTTTACAAACTAGGCGTGGAGCGTGTGAGCGAGGCGTCATCAGCACCGAAACCTCTGACACTCTGAGTGTGATGGAGGTCAACGTGCCGACAGGGAGGGAAAATCAGATGTTGCTCATGTTTAACGTTGTCTTCATATTTAACTGTAAATGAGCTGCAACAATACAGAACGGCATGGATGGTAAAAAGAAACTGAATGATCCAGTGAGTCAGTGTTTCATGAAATAACAGACTCGTAGGATCAGTCGTGTGGTTTTGCAGAAGAGGAAAAGAAACATCAGGACCCTCCTCTTTCCTCCCTGTGACACAGTTCACTCATATCCACCACCAGTGGTTAAAGATAGCCAGATGCAGAACAAAGATATCCGCCGCCTGTCTGCTATCACCCTGAGAAGCTTCACAAAGTTTTGACACTGGACGAGAATCGACGACCACAAGGAAGATCGTTTTAAAAAATGAAGGATGTGGAGGTTTTATGTGTTAAAAATGGATTCATGGATATTTATTTACCGAGCTGTCTCTACCTGGTGTTTAATTCCTTCAGCGTTTCCGTTCCCTCGTCGTCAACAAGCTTTTTAAAAATGAAAATAACCGATTCTGTAAGAAAACCTCAAAATATCCCCGTCTGACTTCAGAGCCCAGAAACAAAACAAATCAATTTCAGGTCAAGTAATACTGGAGGCCGACGCGTGTGACTGTCAGTATTATGGTGCAGAGACGCTAAATTTAGATGCTAACTAGTAATTAGATCTCCTAGTGCTAAACCAAAGGTAGAGAGACTGGTCTGTAGCAGCGTTGTTGTGTCTGGTGCATGCACGAGGAACAATGGGCCTGTGTGTAGTAAACTGAGATATTATTGTTTCCTGAAGTTTTGGAAAATCTGCACCTGCAGTGACTTTAAACGAGCCGTCAGGATTTCTGTAACTTTGTGAGACGTCACAACCACCACAGGCCTGATGAACCAGAGGAGCTGCTCACCTGTGTCGATGGCCTCCTTCATGTAGACGGCACAGTACGGGCTCAGCACCTCCTCGTGGTACGCCAGACCGGGATCCATCTCAAAGTTGGAGAAGCCGATCCGCAGGAAAGGCGACATGTCTGCGGACGATTCCTCAAACAAAATCCACAGGAAACCTCCAGGTGATTTTCACCTTGCGAAAGCAGCGCCAGCAGATGAGATTTCTCAGATTTAGTTTTGATGCTGCAGCAGAGGAGCGATGGGCTGGCAGACGAGGAGGAGGAGGAAGAGGAGGAGGAGGAGGAAGAGGAGGAGGGGGCTCGCTTTTTTTTTTTCGCCCTTGACACTTGTCACGATCTGTGAAAGGAAGAGAGAGAGGTTTCATTACCTGTGACAAACGGAACCACAAGAACTCGCTGTCAAGTTTCCCCTTTCGCTCGCCTCGTGAGCGTCTCCCCGTGTGGACACAAAAACAGATCCACCGTAGAAAAGTTGACTGTGAGAGCACGGGAAACTATTTCGCACCGAAAATCCCCGGAGCAAGATAACGAAGCAGCTTCTGAAAGTCACAGCAGCTAAAACAAAATACCTCGAGGAGCCGTAAACACCAGCTGTCACAGAGTCCTCCAGCCCCTCGCTTCACAATAAGAGATCGGCTGTGAAGATAACGACAGTCCCACTCTGCAGCAGTTTTTGATGTCAGAGTGTTGGTGACGGTCGATGTGATATCTGAGGCCTGTGTGTGTCTCTGTGTGTGTGTGTGTGTGTCTCTGTGTGTGTGTGTCTCTGTGTGTGTGTGTCACGGCCTCTGGTGGAGAGCAGGCTCAGAGGTGACTATTAATAGAGCTGAAATACTAAACTCAGATCAGGAATATACGACCGCATGAGCCTGAGTCCGCAGTGCTTTCTGTCAGAAGTTGGCAGACGTCACCTCCTTTACCGTAACTCCCACTGACCCTGAGTCAGAGGAGTCATGTGATCAGACACACGCAGAGACACGCAAAGGCCAGAAAGAAATGATCAATGATTCCGAAGATGTCGTTTTCAAAACCTCAGATGTTTTCACAGTTTAACCATAAACTTTACCAGAAATAAAATAAAACACAAGTTCTACCTAATATACAGAACTTGATTGAAGAAATTCAAATATAAATACACGTCTCATTTGGATTTTTTTTTTTCATCAGCCCACCGATGAATCCGCCGGGCTCTGTCTCACTGTGACGTAGTATCCATGACAACCATCACCATGACGTCTGCAGCAGCTCTTGAACGCATCGTGCACTCACTGTGTTAAAATCACTTAATGACTCTTTACCACTTTTCTCTCCAGTAAATATCGAATTTATCCACAATAAATAAAATCAGAGTCCTTCAGCTCAAACAACCACAGACTCAAACGCGTGAAACATGCAGAGCTGCAGACGCCTCCCGGCTGTGTCGATGCAGAAGGAGTAAAACTTCCGGTGCTGACGTTACGACGAAGTAACCACACTTCCTGTGTCGGGGCGATTTCCTTTTTTGTTTTGAAGCTTCACAGGTGGAGCCGTTGCAAACCAGAGATTAAAAATGGCGCCAAATACAAAGCAAAGCCAGAGAAACTTTAACAATAACAATAACATTAATATCTGCGGCCACAAACACTGCGTCTATGACTTGTGACTTTGATTTGATTTAAATTTGAAGCCAGTTTCTTTACTTACTCAACATAAAATAAAAGATTTCACCACAGACGTTCTCGGGAGGAAACGAGCTGCAGCTTTGGAGCCGATGGAATGTAAAGCATCGGGCCTGTGGTGACGTCCTAATGGGATTAATCCGTCCGAGCCCTTTTTCTTTCCTTCTCATAAAGTAACCGCACAATACATGTAAGTAGATTTAACCGTGACCAACACAGGGGTCATTGTGAAAACAATCTGCTGATCCTGACATTTAAAATTTAATCTTTGACTGTTTTGAACCCGAGCAGCTGCTGCTGGAGTCTGATGTGATTTTCCACACAAACACAGACTTTTATTTTCATTTCCATTTTTAGTGAGAGGAATTAATGTTGAGTTAACGGCAGATCTGTGTGTGTGTGGGTGGATGTGTGTGTGGTTGTGTGTGCAGGGGTCAGATCATTGCCGATGGGCGTAGTAGATTCTCTTTGCTGCAGCCACCCGCCGACACTTAAATGCCACATGCACACATCCTCAAACACACATGGGGCACGGGGAAGGTCAAGAGCTCGAGACCTTTCAGAGACCTTTCAGGTGAGAAGTCAAAGGAGCCGCCCACCTGACGCTCTGTACTGACCACGCCAAAGTTCAGCCTGTGTTTGTGTGTGTGTGTGTGTGTGTGTGTGTG